AAATAAATAAATAAATAAATTACTTAATTACTTAATTACTTAATTACTTACTTACTTACTTACTTACTTACTTACTTAATTAATTAATTAATTAATTAAAATACCGAACAACTCTACAAGTGGTCTGAAATGAGATCTGCTTCCCTGTGTGATCACACCCTTAAACTCAAGAAGACTGTCATTTAAATTTCTTTTAAATCGTTTATAAATTTCCTGATCCAAAAATTCCTAAAATCAGGCACTTTATTTCATCATCACAGATCATTTCCAACCCTAAATGCAGGAATAATATGCTAAAATGAGCAAGGAAAACGAAAGCAACTAGGCATTAGAACCGAAGATTATGTCTTAAAAGCCCTTTCTGTTTTTCCCCTAAACAGACTGAAGCAGCTCTGATGTATGATGCTGTTTATATGGTAGCAATAGCTTCTCAGCGTGCCTCCCAAATGACTGTCAGTTCCCTGCAGTGTCACAGACATAAGCCATGGCGTTTTGGACCCAGATTTATGAACATGATAAAAGAGGTAAGCATGGACCATTTGCTGGCAGCCACAATAAGGCTCGTTTTACTGTTGTTTCAGATGCTGGGCTCTCTGCCGTATAATGCTCAGTGTCGTTTTTAGTGTTCAGGTAACTAACAGCAGAACATTCTGTTTTACTCTCCATCTTTACTGAAAGACTTTTCTGGCATAGTTGGCAAACTTCATCTTGTAGTTCACAGAGCTTGGAAGTAACATGATAATAGTATCAAGTTACCTGTTTACTTAATGACTAACTTGTTATCTGTGTTATTTTAAGTAAGACAAGCAATGTGTTAAGTTTTAGACCTGACACCCAAACTTTCACAATTCAGTTCAAAGCAAATCTGTAATAAAAATTGAAATATAGTGGGAAAAATGAGTTGGTGATATGGTTATGAAGAGAAAATTAAGAAGCAGATGCTGTGGAGATAGCAATGACAGACTTCTTGCTGTTCCTCCTGGACCCTTTGTCTGTTCACCTCTGTTGGAGGACAGGGCTCTGTATAACACAAGACCTGTTCCAGAAACCCAGATGTAGGCTTCTTTCTCAGGTGTGGTGGATGACACTATCTCATCACTATTGCTGAAATAAATTTCAACTTCAGCCGGCTTCTGTACATGAAATGGGGATGGGGTCTCCATCTTGTCATTTACCTCAGCCAGTAAAATGACATGGGCCTACCAACAAAACAAAAAGAAAAAACTGACTAATTCATGTAAGGGTTCAACTGAGCTTTTTCTATCACCACCAGCGCCACTACTATCATGGTTATCATCATCATCCCTCTCCTGTTCCAAATCAAAACTGTCAACATAATTGCAGTTAGAAGACACCTCATGGGGTAACATAAAAGAACAGGTTGCTTGAAATGCGTTTAACAAGTTTTTTTAATGTTTGCATTATTTTAGGGATGTGCATTCGGATTCAGAACTATTAGAATTCACCGAATAATGCTATATTGAGTTAGTTCCAATCTGAATTTGTTCCAAGTATCTGTAATAATAATTCCTAATATTTGGAATCCCATTTATTTTAAATTAAAAAGCTAAAGGCCAGGTTTTTGCTTGCTAAAGGAAAAAGTAGAAGTGAAGCCTGCTTGTCAGGCATCTTGGAATGATTTCTTGAGAAACAAAACTTAAAAACACTCTGGCACCAAGAGTAGTGGGAGCAGAGAACTCAGTGTACCTTGATTGGGATTGCCATGGGTTGCCCAAGGAAGGAGGGCTGGGATGAGGGCAAAACTTGTAAATGATGTCTGTCTGCAACAATGAAATCTAGAAGCAGGGACAGACGTCAGAAGGTATTTTTTCACATTGGTTCTGTCCAATTGTAAGCATAGCTACTTATAAACCCCCTGAGCATTTGATGTTAGGATGTGCTCTGGTGCAAGACTGCACTGTAGCAGTTCACTCTGTGTCCTTTTCTGGACCCTTAACTTAAAGGGGAAAATAGTGACTATACTGTATAAGTACTCATATTGATTGTAAGAAGTTCCGGATACCCAGGAATTCCAAATTTTTAAAATTCTGAATCCAACGGGCTGTAATACTGCATTCCAAATGCAAATTCTCAATCTGAATTTTGGTTCTAATGCATATCTTTTTTAAAAAAAACTTAGAAATTCATTGATTTTTAAATTTTTGCTACAAGAGTTGCTGACACAAGAGATCTGCTGAATTTCAGAGACACAAGATAGTGGCAGAAGGGATGCACCTAGTTTTGGGTTCTGGGGGTTGAGAGTGGCCCCCCAGAACCACTAAAACTGCTCAGCTGTGTCCTAACATGGTAGCAAATGAACTGTGCTTTTGGATAAGGCTTCCTATATAATAAATAGCGTTTCAGTGCCATAATTCATAACATCTTCAATTTTGCACCACTTTCCAGTTTCTTGGAACAGCCAACTTCCCCTATGTCTTATCCAAGACAACCCATGCATATATCCCAGTCAGTCATCTTACCCTTGATTCCCATTCCAAACCCAATTCCTCACTAATCGACCACTTTAATGTCCACATCGTTATTGGCAGCAATAGTAATGCGATTATGAAAAGTTCTTTGGAACATGCATGAACAGTTTCTATCTAGATTGTCTTCAGGCCTTTCAACCTAAGGAGTTTTGACAGAATGGCTTAGCACAGTATCTCAGTAAATGCAGTTCATGGTTCAATATGTGAAGTTAATGTACAATTCACATTTATCATGTACTGCATAAATCTGCATGGCACAAGAGAACTGACCTAATTACTGATAATTTTCACAGCTAATTCCCTTTATGGTGTATAAGCCATTGAGCCAAAAGGCTAAAGCTTCTTGTTTTCTAAGAAATGTTTTTTTTCCCCCTGGTACTTTGTGAAAAAGAAAAGGTTAAGTAAAAGATAATAACCATAATAGACTGATAAGTGTAACACACTGCCATACTAAACAACAAATTAACTGCTTTCAAATTGAACAAAGGAAAAGATGTGTGAGAACCTACAGTATCTAAACCTTATTTTTGCTGCAGTATATAGCTAGGTAAGCATTGTTTTAAAAAACAATTGAAATAGTTTACCAACAGTCTACAATAAATATAAAATATGACAATTATTCTTGCTAAACAAAAGGAAGAAGAATTAAAACCAAGGTTTAGGGTGATGATTTAAGCATGGAAATTGTAGCTCATAGCTAATTTCCAACAATGAGAAAACCAATATTGTGTGGATACCAATAATGGAAGCTCCTTTATCTTCTGATAGGATGTCCCTTGGCCACCAAACAAACAAACAACACACAAAACTGTTCAGGAGAGTTTCTCAACCTTCCAGATGTGATTTTGGGGGTGCTCAGGGGGCTTCAGTGGGCCTTGTAGATTCTGTGTTTCATCATTGGGGATCCAGTGTTGGAAGTGGACTGTTCATAAGACTGTTTCTGGAATTTGAAACCTCTTGTTCCAAAAGATATGCAACATCAACCGCTATTAGTGTTGCTTCTTCTTCTGATAATGCTTGTTCTAGACTCTTAGGAATTATACCTATTTACCAACACATGTAAAAAAATGACATTAGGTCTTACTGAGACAAACTGCTGGAATTTATATTATGGTGGAAAAAATGAGTAATCCTTAAGACTTAAACACAAGATGAATATAATTTGTGAGTTGCCTTGGGTCCCTGGACTGGGAAAAGGCAGCATAAAATTTTCAGTAAATTAAATCAATCAATCAGGAGTTACTAAATTGAACCCTCTTTCCCTTGGTTTTATAAAAAGCATAATTGGCCTTGTTTTCCACAAAGTATCTCACCATCAAAGTATCTCACCATCTGAAGAGAGAGAGAAAATATCTAGCTATATGCAACCAAGCAACAAGTGATTAATGCTGCAGAAAAAAATACCAGTAATTTTTATTTACTGCACAAATCCTGCATATTAATTGTGGCTCTGGGAAACATTCATATTCTTGAAGAAGAAATATAATCTTAACAGTCTCTGACTTAAGGTACCCTAACCAGAATTCATCAGCTAGCTTTTATGTGGAGGGCATTACCTATATAGTACATTGCCTAGGATAAGCATTCAGCTGCAGCCAGTCATGGGGACTAAATCCTTTCCAGCAGTTCGTCTCAGTAAGACCTAATGTCATTTCATATCTAAATGATAGCTTAATCCTTCTTGCCCCCATCGTACAGAACAGCTTGTGGATGAGTTGTATTCTCAGAGACAGATGCGGAAGGAAGAATTGTTGAATTGTTGCAAAATTCAGAGTTCGGGGTAGCAAAACTGGAAAGAGTTCTGAAACTATGTCTAAAGTTTCCTAACATTTGCAACTGAAATATTAACTATTTTAACTCTCTATCTGAGAAGCAAAAGTATTTTGTGTTATGAGAGAACGAGATCCAGTAACTCCAAGACCACAGCTACAGTACATGGTAAACTTTCATGGAAGGAAGGGAAAGGACAGGTTTCCTGCATGTTTAAATAAAAGGTATCTTTCTAGTAGGTACCTTTTTAAATTGATTCCTGTTGAGAAGAATCAATTTAACCTTTCATTGTTCCTAGGATGCCTATTGTTTTTAATTGATGTGTGACCAAGAAGTGAGAGGGAGGCTTAAAGTACTGAGTTTGTTCCAAGTGCTTATAAAGCTTAAAACACAATTGTGTAATGTGAGGATTTTGTGGCCTTCAACAACAGCACCAAGGAAAGTGTTCTGCATATATGTTTTAGCTTTATCCAAATACATGTGGCATATTTCTAGAATATCTCAACCCTATTGAGTGATACTATATAATATAATAGGACTTAACTCTAGATGGAGACTAATAGTGGAGTCCTGAACATATCTACTGAGAAATAAGCACCGTTGAGTTCAGTCAAATGCTGCCAGATAGATGTTTATAAGATTTGAACCTCCATTTGTTGATGTTAACATTTCATAGTGATCTGGAACAAATCATTCACAGGAAAATAAGAGTCAATATACATGACTTTATTACATGCCAAGAATTCTGTGAGAGTTTTATAATTTGCTATGAACTACTGTTGTGAAAAAGCATGTTCAATTACATAGTGAGGCAGACTAGTTACGTTAGTATGCTGAGTCTTATGTACTTATTAAATTAATCTTAAAGATAACCGGTTGAAAAAAAATATTAGTATGCAGTGTTACAGATGTGTGCGTGCATGCAAATGTAAATGTAAATCTCAAACAAAGGAGTTGTATACAACCAATTTCTCCTGTTTTCATACTGGTTTGTCATTTCCCCCAGTAAATCCTGGGCTATTGGTGAGAATGTTTGGAATTATTAAGTACCCTAACCCTGCTCACAGAAATACAGTTCTCAGAATTTATTGGGAAAAGATAATGATTATTAGTTTAATCTGCAATATAGATATACCTTATGACTTAAACATCATGGTTAAATTCATTTTAAAAACCCACTGGTTTTAAAAATCTGTGGAGATTTTAATGGTTTGTTTGTTTGTTTTACATTTCTATCTCCCCGCAAAACTGAAGCTGTCTAGATA